CTGTAGTGGATCACTTTAATTGACTAATTTACTTTAAATAAAAGCACCACACATTTTAACATATTACGTGTGGCCCCAAATATGTTAGAATTTTCCAAAAGGATCGTGGGTTGGATAGTTAGAATCCTTGGAATGCTTCTGAGATAAAGAAGCCATTACAATTGTTTATTTCGAATATCAGATTTCAACTACATGAACACTTACTTTACAAGCAATGCTTTTATGAATTCGGCCCTGAAAACTCACACTTTCAATGACAATTCCAAAACGGCAACACATGAAGATCAATGAACCATATTACAGCATAAAGTAGCCAAATAAGTAGTCAAGGATAAGCTTCAATTACAGATTGAACGGCTTGAATATGTTTGATAGTGTATCTAGTGAAGCCAGCAGCAGTTAGAACATTTGCCCACTCTTTAGAAGTCCTCTCTTTTCCTTTGTCCGTATGAGCCATCATCACCATATCGAGTGCCAAACCGACATCTTTAAACTTATCATCTTCTTTTTCATCAATCACAGCCTCTGCAATGATTACTTTCCCTGTGTCCTGTGGAATTGCCTCTCTGCACTTGATAAGAATGTTGATGCACTCGTCGTCCCCCCAGTCGTGCAATACCCACTACAACATATTATCAGACAGAAAATGTCAATATTAATTATAATAATAGTATAAAAATGTAAAAGACGTGTTTTACATTAACAATTCAATTTTAGCCTCTCTTATTAAAAACGTTAAACATTCCCTTGTAACTCGAGAGGCCCCACATAACTCCTCGACATCCCGAGAGTAACTTGTCGGGTCTCGAGACAACAGGGGCTGGGGGTGGCAGGACGAGGAGGAATTTGGAGTAACATACCATGAGGAAAGCAGCATCAGCCTTTGGAATTTTCTCAAACATGTTGCCACCAACGTGCTCAACACCATCCCAATTTTGAGCACTAGATACCACGTGAGGGAGATCAAAACTAATCCCACGAATCCAAGGACACTTTTTAACCAAAATCCCTAGAGTTGTCCCATTACCACCTCCAACATCCACCAAAGAGCCAATTCCCTTAAACACCTCTGCATAATTATCAATAATTGCTGACATTGCCACCCTTGCATGGCAAGCCATTGCATCATCGATCAGCTTGCTATGCGCAGGATTCGCTGCTGCATAGCGCCATACATCTTCACCGTGAGAAACCATAAATGCTGAAGTGCCAGTCACTAATGCACGTTCACCTAGGTTGTGCCAGGGCGCAAGCATTACCGGGCTGCTTTCTAGCAGCACAAAGGCAGCCATGCTGCTATCTCCATATTTCATAAGAAGACGCGAAAGGGTTGATTGAACATAACCGCTTGATTCTTGACCAACGCTAACTTCCTTAAAGATTTTGCGGTGGATCAAGAACCTCATAATGCGATATAGAATCGATGGCGAGCAACTGAGGGCGCAAGACATCTCCGTGAGTGTCATGGGGCGGCCACCGTGGCTTTCCAGGACATCGGCTATTCCAAGCTCAATGGCACACTTCACCACTGCCATTTCTGTAAAACCAAATACATACTTCCATATATCCACCTGAGCTAGTGCTTCTTCTTCCATTATACATTTTGCTTCTTTCTTCCAAGAAACCAATATATTGAAGCTTTAAAGGTACAGATTCTATTATTGTTACAGAAATAAAATCTGGCAGGTGGAATAATAAATATTGGGCCCTGTGATTTATTACTTAAGTTTGTTCACCAACTCAACACGTTAATCACGATGTACCTTTTATTGAGTGAGCAAGTTATGATTTGCCTACTAGCTTTAACAACTAATTGATTCACCACAATCAAGCCAGTTTTCGGACCCCATCAGTGAAGATTGTTGTATTGGTGAACCATTTCATGATTCACGAGTAGATTAAAATAGAGAAGAAGTGTATATGACGATAACAAATACACGTACTAGTGTCGACCCATTTTGTCTCGTCCTACCCACCTGTCAACTCATGAATTCCTCATAGCAGGCACACGTGCCTCGACGTATTCTATGCAATTATGAATTCCATGAAACTTTTAAAAATTCAGGGCAATTAATTCTTTGGAGCTCATTAGTATTTAAAAGAGAAAATAAGTTAAAATACTGTCCAACATTAAGTATGGGTAAAAGAAGATAGAAACATCTGCAATCTACTTTTGTAAGCAATAAGAAATCCATTACACGTGTTTAAAAATAAAATTAGCAAATATCTGGCAGGTTGATACATTAAAGAAAAGCTCTAATCTCATACTCTCTATATACAAGTACGTAGCACACAATTCAAATATATATGTACATGTTGGGGATTGAGCCAATATAACAAACAAGCAGCGAAAGTAATTAATTCAATCCCTCAATGTACAAGAATTAAAATGGCAGCTATAA